ACGCTTCAGAATTTGAAATGAAAAAAACCAATCTAATTCAAAAAGACAACTGTAGATATTGAGATGCTCGTAGCATTGAACAAATAATGGCCTCCTCTCTTTTATGTTCCACAGCAGCGCTATAGCCATTACATTATAGAAATGAGTCTTTTATATTTCTACACAAATTGTTGGACTTTTTAATAACTTTGTGTATTATCAATCCTCTTATCTATTTACTACACAGACAATTACCATTATGACAATGCCGATTCGTATGATGACTGGGCTGACAAGATCAGCCATGAATTTTGGAGAAATAAGAACAAAAGAAAGCTGGATGAAGAAGAACACACAAGACGAAAAAAGAAACATGAAGAAAATAAACAGCGAGAGTTTCAAGAACAACTTGAAAGAGAACATGCAGAGTATGAAAGAAGATGTTCAAGACAAATTCAAGAACAAATGCATGAACGGAAGAGGAAATATATTGCAAATTGTTGTAGAGTCTTCCATGTGGATAATACAACAAAACTGAAATATGATGACATGCCATGGCCATGTGTGAAAGGTGACGTTAATGAAATGATTAAAGTTATTCTATGGGATGTTAATCAGGATGATAAGAAGGGTTATAGGAGATATATCAGAGTACAACAGACAACGTGGCATCCAGATAAGATTCAACAGAAGCTAGGACATAGACTGCATGACAGACATCAAGAAAGAATATTGAACAGAGTGACTGAGTTGTCACAAGCTTTGAATAAACTTCTTGATGACAGTGGTTAAATGAGCAACTTTTTTTGGGTCTTCAAACAAACTTTAGTTCATGTAAAATGCAATAAATTAATTGTCTGTCTGTTTAATATCTTTATTTCAATAGTTTTGGTGTTACTCAGCAATTATAATTGTCATGAATGTGTCCAGACAAACTATTTCGTGGATTATTTACCAACGTGTTGTGGTTTGAGTTAGGGCCATGCGACTAAAACTAAAATTAAAATTCAGCGCGCTACTTTTTAAAATGCGTTGCTTGAATAAAACTGACCAGACACATTCACATTACCAGACTATTGAACAACTAGGAAATGTGGAAAAACAGCTTCTTATCACAGGCATAAATGCGTAATTATTTTTTTTACAGAAAAAGTATTTTTTTACATTTGAATGATTAACGCATCGTAGAATGCAGATACGGGCATGAAAATCACACTTTTGAAAAGTTTGAAGTCTGGCGATTTCAAAAATATATACTTTCCTGGGTCTTTTTGTAGCCATTTAGCCACAATTAGAAGATGAAAACAAGTATGCAAATAAAAGTCTCGCTACCTTAATAGACCATTTTCCGTTCACTGCGAGAATCACGTGGTATGCGTGAAATCGAACGT